TGCTTGTATGGAGTAGTACTGGACAACTCCCGCCCCTTTCCCCCTCCGGGCTTATCAGTATCCACAGCTCCCATGCCTCCACTAGCTCCGCCCCTTCATGGTATCTATAACAATACCTCAGACGGCACGCTCGGTTTCTTCCCATTGTTGTGAGGGTATTGGTTTTCCAGCTACTCCGTCTGTACTTCACTGTATATACCCAGGCTGCTCAGCCCAGGTATTAGAATCAAATTTCTCACGCAATCACCTAATTCCTGTTTTGCACACAAACAAACTCTATAAAGCCCTGCATGGTGTGTAACATATCAAGTTACCCGAAATATCATCACTGAGATCAAGGCTGCTGCATATCTATCGCATTGTGACTGATTTGCTGCTTTAGTACATTTCACTTCTATTCAGAGGTGGTTATCACTCAAGTTCCTGTTTCTATGAATTGGATGACTTAGCCTCGTAGACTTCCTGTTGATAGAGATTTTAGCCAACGAGGGATAGACCATTGCAAGGAGCTTCAAGTCAGCCGGTGAGTCTCTTTTTTTCCCCCTCCTAGCTGCTCTATCTAGCAACCATAAAGCCCATCCATGCCCCTCCCACAGCCAGGCTCGGGTGCCACAGGTTACTGGCGATGACGGCGGCGGCGGCGGCAGTGTATCGATTGCTGGTGAATTGTAAGCTCACTCTCGCACTCTCTCTCTCAACAGTCTAGGCAGCTAGCTTTGTCAGCTCCCGGTAGCTTCCCCGAGGACAGAGCTCTGAAGTTTGCTCTCCAATTGTTGCTACTCAGAAAGTGACTTGTATTTTAGTCTGTCACTCTTTCATTGGATAATCTGCTTTCTCCTTTCTTCCAGTATCTATCAATATAACAATAATAGCTAGCATTCAAACTTCAAAGTCTCTTTTGGTGAAATTGTTTTCATCTTGTGGATCAAATATATTTTTTTCAATTGACTGGAGTTGATGGGGTATGTATGAATGTCTTTTCTTTTTTGTTTTGTGTTCGTATATCATCCTTCCATAAAAATGTAAGGACAATTGTTATGATTAGATAGTACTGATATTTCATTTGTAATCCCAATCTTAAAGGAAAATTACAGATGATATGTGGAGCAGTTACACTGCCTATTAAGCAAAGATGGTATGCTAAACTTTATTTTACTACCAGTACTTAAATAATATATTCATCAATAAATCAGCACGATTAATGATGTCATGTGACTTCGGCAATGCCAGAAGTACCTAAATCTGATTCCTTGTCTGCTTTAGAAGAGGTCTGCGCTTTCATGTCTTTCTTGAGAAAGAGAACACCAGTCAAAGAATATGCTGGTCATTTTACCCTGTAATGCAAGATTACAAGTGGAGGTTTTTAAGAACATGATTTATAGATGTCAGTCTTTATGCTGCTATCTCTAAGATACAACCTTGTGCAGTGTTTTAATAGGTAAGGGTTCTGTGTTTTGATGTTTCCTGTAAAGTGGTAAAAGATACACCATACTTCCTTGAAACTTACATCCGCACCACCCCGTGATAAAGCTACCAGAGCCTTGAAGTGGATGCTCCACAAATCTATTGTCTGGATGCAAAGAAAACTGAAAACCAATCTTGTGTGAGACATTGATTCTACCAGTAACAATAGCTTAATTTTTAATTTCTGCCATTCTTCTGCAACTAGAAAAAGAAAAGGGTAAACCATAAAAATGAAATTAGTTTCTACATAATTCTTTATTGAAATAAGCATATATCATAGTTTGTAGATAGATACCTGCATTTTTCCAAGGCATCTCTTTGATTTATAATGTAGATATAATTGTTAGAAATCAGTTTACACCATTTATATACCATTTTAATGAAGAAAAAAAACATTTACTTTGATTTATTGCTTTCACAAAAACTTATATTTTACTGAACATCTTACCTTTCATGGCTTTTTTCCCTTTTTTAAAGGGAAACATTAAGTTATTGATTTTGTTGTCTTGTGAAAATATGATTGAGATAAATGAATTAGGAACTGGTACATGTTGGATGTGAGCTAGTATGTTAAATAAAAATAAATGAAATGATATCAATTATATTAGTGGTAACTCGATCCAACTCCTTTGAATTTGCTATTTATATATTATATCAATCATTTGAATAATTGCCAATGGTGACTGTCTTTTCTTATTTGAATTAATTGTAGATGCAGAAATAGGGATTTAGAATTACTTCTGTTCTCATTTGTGTTATTATGGGATTCATTATTATTCAGACTAATTTACTTTTCAATTATTCATATGTTTTCTGTAAACCAGACTTAAAAGATTGTGTGTTCTACATGTATGTCTCGTGCAATAAAAAAAAACTAAAATCCATCGTCACTCAGACATCTATTTCTGTCTCATATTCCCACCCTCTATATCCATAAAATGTCAAGTGATGATGTAAATCTCTTCTTTATATCAATGTACATAGATGAATGATGGATATTAAATGCAGACTTTACCTCAAAAAGGTCAACGCTAAGGTCTAGCTGCATTCAGATTGTATACCCATTATTACTTCTCAACAACTTGTCGAATATCTTGAGATCAATTTAAGGAACATGTGTTTGAGCTTCTTAGCTTCAACCTTTACTATTTGTTCAAACTCCCCTTTCTGGACCGAAGATTGATAAAAGTATGTTTGCAGGGAGAATTTATATATTGACTGTTGACAGAGTCATGCCTTCATCTTAGAAGAAACAGCTCTTTTTGCTTGGTAAATAAAGCACTCGCTCTTTGCTTGCTTGAGGTGACTTCTTGGGGGTGGAGTTTATTGAAACTGAAAGGAGCCAGCTCCAATATTTCACATGTTCATTCCTGGTATAGGCTGTTTCATTTCCTTTCTCTCTTTCCTCATGGCACATCCATTATGTAACAAGGCACATCTTGGGTTATCTGATCAGATGTTTCTTTTCCTTATAAGTCCTTCTTCCGGCAGCAGCAGTCACAGCCTTGGTAGTTCCTTCTTTGAAAAATCCTCTTGAGTTTTGTAAAGCCTAATCTCCTTCCTTGTTAGAGTCTAGGTCAGGAACTGCTGACAGGAGATAAGATAAGAGAAGTTGCAAGATGTGCATTTGAAGATCCAACTTGTATTTCCTTGTCTTCCTCGTTAATTCAGTACCTGAAGATTTCTTTTAAAACCCTTGGTCTATCACCTCTCCCAGCCCCCAAAGTCTTGTTGGATAAGATAAGCCAGCCCTCCCTGCTCTCTGATCCTCTCCTTGTTTCTCAAGGCAAGGGCTGTGTCTTTGTTTTGCTGATAGACAAATCCTGTCAAGGTCTGGCGTGGCGGCGAGCATTGTCAAGAAACTATATGTCCAGTTTGCCCCTTGACAACTTTAAGATGTTAAGCTTGCCCCCTTGGAAGACCCTCCCGGTGGCTGGAAGGATCTGATCTATATTGGGAATGGAGACTCAGGTGATCACAAATCATTATCTCCAGATCTCCTCAGACATGTGTTACTTTCATATCCTTCCAAGGCGATTCCACGTTTATATGGATTTTACAATGTATTCAACTGACTTTATTAGTTGTTTTCTTTAACTAAGACAACGGCTTGTTTGTTTTTAAATAAAGAGAGAAGTATCAAATGTAATAATAGTGTAAAGAGAGATTTTTACAGTAGTTTTGCACCATTTCACATAATTAATTGACTGAGAAGACACTAATGCACTATTCAAAGTAACAATTGGTAGGCTTTGATGCCTAAATATTATTATATTATATTATATATTATGATGTGTTTGCACAGTAAAATCAGAGGTGCCGGTGAATGACTTGATTTTTGTAAGACTGACATTATGTGAAATAATGGATTCAGCATCCATTCATGCATTTATTATGAGACATCCTAAATGACTCTAAAAATTGATTTTTCTATTGTTTGAATGTTTGTGTAATGATGGATGTCTTATTTTCGTTATGCATTTATAATGTTTGCAAGCAGCATATGCTTTTCAAGGGTAAACCAACACAAATATGAGTGTAATTATTTTTAACAAATTGCAGTGAATACTGTTCAAAAAAGTTATGAAAAGATAAAAAAAAAAAAAAAAAAACTTTGAGTCAAGAAAGGTGAAAAATTCAAGCTTCATTTTAGTTATTGAAATGGGAGATTTGAATAAAGGATGAAATTTATTGTTTCACTATAGTAAGCCTACCATTGAATTTGTTTACATCTGCTATGTTTTTATTTCTTTTTAAACCATATCCAGACAGTAACATACTTGTAAATATAATGTTAAAAAAATAATGTGACTATCAGTGTCAGGCATTGTTTTTGCCCTAATAGAACAACATAATCACAATTTTAGGTTTTTGATAACACCATGTTAAAATTAGTTCACTTCAAATCAAATGTTTATTTTTGACATAATTCCAGGTCATTTTCATGTCAAACTTCAGTTTTTTGGCACACTGTGTCCAAATAAATTTCAAGGTAAAAGTAGATCTGTAGGGTTACTAAAATCATTGTATTCATTCATATTTTTGGCAAGGATATCAAATGAAAGAGGTTTGTAGATAATCAATTTTGTATTTAGAGTGTTGGAAAGCAAACCTAAAGCTATTTTGATTATGTTCTTGGAAGGTAATTTTAAGGATAATCTAATCACAAAGTGAATTCCTTAAGAAAATATTGTCTGTTTAGGGGATTTATAAATCTGTGCAGGAAATGTCTCTTATCTTTATGTAGAATAAAACACAAAGTAAAAGAGCACAGTACTTTTACTGTGTTATTTCTCCTACATTAAAACAAAGTTTAGAAACAGGGAAACCAAAGGAAGTGCATGCTTAAAAGTTTTAAAAGGAATGTAGCTTGAATTAAATATATGAAGTGTTTGTTGCTTCAGAGAAACAGCAAAAGACTGCAATTCAATTCACACAAAATCAGAGGGGGAGATTATAGTGATTGAATGAATTCAGCAAGAAGCTGTGCAACAAAGAATGCAGTAAATAAAAGAAAATAAAGATTTGTTAACATTTTTTTTTATAGATATTGCCTTGAAAGCAGACATAAAGTATTCCTTTACAATGTACATGCTTATATTCTTTGAGAATAGAAATAATTAGATAAATTATTCATTTTCTTGATACTACTTGAGAAAGAAGGATAAGAAGAAAACAAGTTTTGTAAACTCTTAGAATGAAGCTGGACAAACATAAATATCCCTTCTGTATAAATAAATGGCCACACTTCCATCTTTTATGTTGTAAGGGTTTAATCACCACACAGATGGTCGGTCGGTCATCTCGGGCCAGGGCTACTGGTCAATGGGAAAGCTTTGAGATCACTATTGTTTGACAAGGGCATAAGAATTAGCGCACAAAAGAACCAAGCCTTCTTCCAGACATCCACAGTGTAATATAGGGTCATTAGATTTGTCCACTGGTTTTATTGATACCCTTAATAAATAGCAATACTCTTTGATGGAATAGTTCCATGTAAATACTTTTTTGTTGTTGTAATTCATGAAGGCCAGAGTCTAAGCACATGTCTAGAAAATGGTATTTACAAAGAAGGCATTGAAAAAGAAAAAGTGAATTTTGAAAAATTGTTTACTCTTTGAGAACATAAATTCATTTCAAGTACTTTTGTAGAGAACTTGTATCCTTAAAATAATATTGTGATTATTGAAGCAGTTCAGTATTGATCCATTTACTTTATAAAAACTCATGAACTTGGTATGCACTTTTTAAATTTGAAGCTACAGGATGCAAAACGAAGTGTTATGAAACCATTATTCGTGGTAAAAGAAAAAGAAAAAGAAAAGAAAAGAAAGAAAGAAGAAAGGTAACTATTGGTCCTTGCCAGATTGATCAATGTTTATGTTTATCCATTCTGATAAGGATACAGCCCTTTTCCTTAGCTTGTACTTTTACTAGATATCTACAAAAGGCAATAGGCTGCTTTGGAAAATTCCCAGACACAAAGTCGCCTATGATAACCGTCTTTGTTTCTCTAACTAAAGTAGTGATCCCGTGAAAAGAATAAGAAAGGAAAAAAAAACCACAATATCAACTAGTGACATCATGCTGAAGAGGAAACGTAATCTGCAATTGTATTTAGGAAGTAGCAACTCTGTAGCAAAATGAGTACTAAGCAGGGTCTTAATGTGTCCTTGCTGCTATGCTAGAAAGTACTTTAACCCCCAATGAGTTGTGCAGAGAAATCTGAAATAGTTCATTCAGGAGGGTTAAATGAGTATTATGCTAGATATCTTTTTGGTTTTGGTTGCCAGTAGTGGATGGTTAGCGAAGTCGGATATAGTAAAGTAGGCCTTATCTTGGTCTTCAGCGCCTCATTTCCCACAATCCAATCTCCTTGGTTGTGTACGGGATACCAGGGAAAGAGGAAGTAAGTATCATGGTTATGGTGAAAACAATTGGCTGAAGATCGCGAGCCAACGATCTTTCTGCGAGACTTGCTGGTGGCAGGCATAAAGAAGTAAGAAGCCATCTGGGTAAGACGTGTGTTACCGGGCTCTCACTTCCTCCCTGCCTGCATGCCCCTGAAAAAAAGTGCATCTGGTACTTAAATCTGCTCGTTGATTATGAATGCGTATACTTGCCTATCAGGTAGAATGCGGTATTGTTAGCCTATTTATAACCGGTGTTTTCTCTCTCTCTCTCCTCACACAGTGAGTGATTTGCGGCCGAGTGAAGTTCTAGCTGTCAGCTGACGGAATTTACTCACACCTCCCTTTCCAACTGCAGAGACGTTGGACCAGTCAAGAGCTTCAGTGTAGCATAGTTGTGCACAGTCAAGGAGACATTGACGTTGTTTGGCAAGCCAATGTCTAAGGTCGAGGATGCATCCAGTCGCCAAGTAAAGCGACATCGAGCTGATCAGGGTCTACCCAGGGGCAATCCTCACACAAAAGTCAACAGCTTTGCCAGCATCAACGGTGTGTTCCAGGAAAATGTCGAACACAACTCTGAAGTTTTGAGAAACTTGTTAAATTTGAATCGGAGCAGTCCTGCCAAGTCCGTCGGTTTGTGCAGCGATACAGAATCACAAGATTCATTTGCGCAGGACAGAGTGGCGGAGGATCGCAGCAGTTTGCTTTATTCGGAAGAAGATATTGCGGAGAGCGCAGATATTGAACCTAGTGGATATTGGCAAGATAGAAAGTTGGAGTGCGCCAAGGTACCCAGTGAGAGTGGAGATTCCACAGCCATGCCCACTGCAGAAACCGCAATGTGGGAAGAGTGTAACGGATCAACCAGTCCAATTCAAGAAACCATCACAGACAGTCTCAAAGCCAAGCGTGCCCGAGTAGAAAACATCATCACCAGCATGAGGCATTCACCACCAGCAGTCGGAGCCCAGGACCCTGTGGGGTTGGAAGACAGTCTGCGCAAACCAAAGCGCAAGCAATACCAACCACAACCCCAGCGCTGGGACTCCGGAGATGAAGACTCCCCAAGCAAACCTTCCCGCAAACAAGAAAAAACTAAGCTCAAAGGGATCCTATCGCATCTTCAAACGCAGCTGGACACACTTCAGGAGAAATACCTCAACATGTATGATATAGAAGATGATGGAAATCTATCGGACAACTCTGATGACATGGATGATTTAAATGAACCGATTGACACAGGTAGTGCAATTCAGAAATATGAGGTGAATGGGGTCAGTGGAAACAGCTCACCAGTTCGCCATCGCAATGATAGGAAACGGAGAGCAGATGGAAGTAGCGTTCTAATTGATCGCACAACAAGTTATATTGTGAGACAAACACTGAAAGAAGAGCTGCCACCTCTCCTGCTCAATGCAGTAGACTCTGTGATGAATAAACTAACGAAAAGCGGCAGCAGCAAAAATGCAAGTAACAACAACTCAACCCATACTAAGTCTGAAATCAATAGTAACCAGGCCAGAAATCCAGTACTAGCCCAGAATGCTGCTAGCCCTCCTGCCCCAGCAGCCCAGGAGTGCAAGCCAACACCTCCCCCTCCAACCCTCATCCACCCAAGCTTCTTCATGAGGCATTTCCCTACACCGCTGGAGCAGCAGCAGACAGAGGCAATGTCATTGGTGGTCCCTAGCAGAAAGAGGGTGAGGAGTAACGACCACCGGCATTTCCATGCCAGCGGTGGCTTCCACCCCGGGGATTTCCCCATGAAACCAGAGCCTCTTCTACCGGTGAGCTTACCCACCTCGGTAGCCATCCCCAACCCCAGTCTTCACCCTACTCTGGCTGCTAGCTTCATGACCCCCAACATGACTGATCCAAGGGACCATTTTGAAAGCCTCAGGTATATGTAAGAATAAATTCTTCTTTTTTCCAACATTTCATTATCACTAATTATTTATATATCATGATTTAATATGCAGGACAATATCGTAGGGGGAAATCACAGGGGCCAAAAAATTGATAAACCATGAATAAAAAATAATGATTGAACATGTAAAAAAATTGGAAGAAAAGAACTTTGAATGAAATCATTTGTTGCATTTGGAAGTCCCAATTACTGCATGCACATACAGCAGATGTAAATTGATTGCGCTATTTGAAATTTTAAGCTGTAGGGAGTTATAAATGAACAATATTGAATTTCATACTAGTACCGGTACAAGCCTCCATGATATTGATATGCATATTTCTCATACTTCAAAAAAAGGTAGGAAAAAAAAAGACTCTGAATATCATGTGAGTGAGTAATTAATTAATCGATGACAGTGTAAAAACATGCATTATGTATCGTCTTCAATATCAGTTCTTAAAATTCCCCTGTTACATGTACATCTTCCAAAAGTGCACATACCGTCAAAAGATGTTTACGATACATGAAGCAGCTCATAAAAGTGTAATCTTGTTGAAATGAAAATGCCACATAATTCTTGAAAAATTATAACCAGTCAATGTGATTTTTGATTCATTCTTCTGAATATCCTTTATATTGTCAATACTTAAAAAATTCCATGCATTATTCATTATTAACAAGTTCTTCCGCACTTATCTTTGACTAAGTATGATGGATATCACTCCGCCTCACCACCTGTTTATTTGCAATCCGCTACCGTTTCACAAGAGAAAAACAAGTCCAACCCTAAACAAGAAAACTCTCTTATTCCAGCCCGTCATCTTGTTCGTTAACGCTCTCAATACCGCCATGATTTATAGACCTGTCTCTTCCATATGTTTACTAATAATGATACAGATAATGGCCCAAAGGGTGATTAACTCAAACGTAGGATTTCAAGTATAAGACATGTATGGTTTAAAAGTAACATTTTTCTTCCCCCAAAAAGTTTTAATACACCTTCATTTTTAGTAGGGCTATATTATTACTAAGACAATTGTATTAATAATTAGTGTGTGTGTGTGTATGTAAGAAGGGTGACATGATGTATTTCAAAATGCAAGTATATTCAGTGATATTTATTTGTGTGATAATTGTTCAGGGAATTATAATTTTGGTATCAATAGACATCAATAGTTTTTAGCAAAACTGTTGATTCCATAAAAAAAAATTAAGATTAATATTCTATTTCCTTTCCTATGGACTGTAGACAATGTGAATTCTCAATTTTCTCATATACTTTAACGGTTATCATCAGCATTTACTCTGCATGTTTTTACTTCTCTACCGAAAAAAAAAAATGTTTTTTACAAATTGATTTTTGACAAATGGGCCTGTAGTAAGCATTTCATGATATTATTTAAGTCGTGGGCTTACATAAAGCAGTACTTATCCTTTAATTCACAACGATGCCAGCTGTTAAGCTATCAAAAATTGTAAATAGAGGAGATGCAACTTCATTTTAAATATTCTTTTCTGGCTCAATAGAAATAGGATATCATTCCTCATTATCACTCACTGCATGGGAATTTGGGAAGTGTGTTTATTCATCTATCCTTATTCATACCAACCCAAGTGTTTAATGATGATTTCTAGTCATTTATTTGAGGTATTTATCCTCTTATTTTGTCATAGGAGTAATCGTTGGGCTTGTTTGCTCGTTCTTTTCTGTAGAATGAGGTCTAGTCTTAAATACTTCCACAGTGGGAGGCATCAAGTCAAAGACGGATGATTGTAGAGATTGTTTCAATTTCCGTTATGATTCTTGAATATACAGAGTTTACAAAAGGAAGCGGGTTTTCTTTTTTATTTACCAATATCTTTGAAATTATGATAGATACTAGACTTGATTAAGCAATTTACCATTCATTCTGTCAATGACTTCATTCATTTTAGTAACATTTCACTATCCATTCAAAGTGTGAAATGTTAGCCAGCTGAAAAACATGACACAAGCTCTCCTGATGTAAAAAAAAAAAAAAAAAAAGAGAAGCATTATTAAAACAAAGCCTGATCTTCTCTGGTCATAAAAGATTGTACAAATGTGGCATAAAGGGTTGATACAAAAATATTTGCAAACTTCAAGTTCAGTGGGCAGAGTGATGATTCACTGAATTACGTTCTTGTGATTCTGTTTATTTGGATGTGCAGTATGTGTGACCCATCTCCTGTTTGGGCAAGAATTAGAAACCATCAAAATATGTGGTGAGGGCTTTTTTTACCTTTTCTTTCCCCTTAATGTTCCGGTTGATTTATCATCATGTGGAACAAAGAAAAAAGAGATATTTGGCAAATTCTTCTCCTTTATTGACTGAAGTGGACAAATATTTATTATCCCTATTAGAAGGAAAATAGAATCAATCATTCATGCATTCAATTTGCAGAAGATTAAAATTTCCTTTTAGTGCTGGCAGCCCAAATTTCCATGTAGAGAATTTCATTTTGAGGTTAATTGGTGCGTTATGTCATTAGTAGGCCTTTAAAAACAGCTTTGGGTGTTGAAACATCAAAATAAGATGAATAGGTGAATAATATCTCAGTTGAAGTACTATAAATCTTGTTTCACCAGACAGTAATCCTTTAATAGACCATTTCCAGTTCTTTTATCAAATTCATTCTTGTATTTCAATTGAAATCTCAGTCTGTTTTGGCTCCTAGAGATGATCAGAAAAGCATTTATCCAAAAATCATTTAAGTTCACCACATCCTGCATGCAGAAGGCCAACAGAATAAAATTGAAAAGAGCATATTTTGAGGTTTACAAGACGCATTCATTTCTTAATTGTCACGATGTCTCCTAATCCGAGAATCTTGCCAAGACTTTTCCGTGGATCAGCCAATCTTAGTGCAGACAGCTCAACTTTCATCGGAGCTTCTCATTTTTTTTCTGCTCTATTTTGAGCCCGCCTCGCAAACAGCGTCAATCATTTTGCAGTTGAATCACCGACTTACGCAGGATTTATCTCCGCCTGTCAAATACAAAAGGAATTCCCTGTGCAGTATTTCATTAGTATAGGAAGTACTTCATTGTATTTGTCAGTTAAGTTTACTTGTTGAGCTACTTGCTCCTACAAAAATGAAGAAAAAAGGATAAAAGATGGGGAGGAAAGTGACATCAATTATTCCTATCCTCAAAAACAGAGTATCTGCATGTCGCTATGACCCTAAAAAGTGCATTCTTGTAAATGAATCCAAGTCCCAACTAGTTGGCTTCTTATTTTCATTTTTTATGTGACTTGCCTGAAATGAGTGAGCAATTAAGTCATCAGAAATTACAGACTACCCCATCAGGTTCTGATTTAGTCATGATTGCCTGCATTACCAAGCAAGCATGCACCAACAATCTTGCAGGATAAAAAGATGCTTTGAGTCTCTCTTTAAACAATCTCCAGATCTGAAAATTGTCCTCATTAGTGCGCACGTTTGGGTTTTTAAGCTTAACCACTTTACCGGTACCTTGCTTTCTAGATTGTGTGGAAATCTGAGTAATTCCAATGAAGATAAAATGGAATTAATGTTTGCATCTTTAATCCTAAGAATTGCCCATAATCACTACCTTTCAATCTCAAGTAATTCTAATATCATGACGGTTGTCAGGAATCCCCAAACAGGAACAAAAAATGCTCTGCCATGACTTGGCTACTCTAAGTGTGATTAAAACAAAATTCCTTCCAAAATGCGAAGTTTCATCGCAGGCATTAGGGGAGAGAGATTAGGAGAAAGTATTACAAGCTTTCCTATATATGTACAGCTTGAGCATGTGTACCGATGTCTCATATTATCTCATGTTCCCACGCACTCCAAGATTACTTTGGATTAGGTCAAAATCTTACGTCTTAGTTCTGTGCTTTTCTCAAGTAGCAAAGATGATTTACAGTTTTTCAGACATACTCTCCCATATCTTATGTCATATCTGTCATCTAAAGTGCTATCCTAGATGGAAGAGAGAGAAATTCAGTGAGTCATATGTAAATTTCATGTTTTAAATATTAATGTTAGCGTTGCAAATGTATAGCTTATCTAGAAAGTACTTTTTGCAGTGGTGGAATAGAAGGCCAGATAAACTACCAGTATAGATTTCCTGTATAATGTGCACACATACATGTATTGATTTTTATGGGGGAATAGAAATAACATGAAACTGAAGTCTTGAAAATAAAAAATGACCTGACATAGATAGGGTGCGATGAACGGCATATGTTTGCAAAACATAGATCCAGTAATGCCATGACTTGTATAATGACACCTGAATGGATGGCATAATCACACCCCAGCGTCCTCGCCTTTCTTCTTGTTCTCTTTCTCCTTCTGCTTTTGGCTTTCAGCTCCTGCCCTGATTCTCACTATGTACAATGGTCTCTTATGTGTAGGTTGCATCCTTCCTGGCTTTTTTAAAGAAGATTAAGACAATTTGTCCCCTTACCATAGTCTTTCACCTGGTCCGCAAGCAAGCAAACATATCTCTTAGGATGCTCATACAGGATATCACAAGTTGGCGTGCGAAGAACCGCCGTAGGGGCTTTTCAGTCTGACGTTGCGAAAACATCTTCTCAGGAAATCTGTACAGAGTCCTGCTTTTTCTTTCACTTTCCTTTCTTCCGTTTGGGTTCTTTTTTGATGGATTTGATGTGTTAGAAAGAGAAGGGATCTATTATTGTTGTCCATGATCCCATCTGCAGCCGGCATTGTTTGGAAGATCATTCATTTGCAGGCAGACTCCCCATTTTGTCTCTTTTATGCGATGACATATTTATAACCCATCTTCAGCAATATGCTCACCTGTGTTAGTAGTTTATGAGTGATGTTCCTTATTTCCTTTTGAATTCATCTGGAAGTATATGGTTATATGAATATTTCATATCGTCCATCGGTAATAGCATTTCATGAGTTGAAAAACACTTGGCAGCGATATTTATCTTTTCCTTTCCCATCGCAATAAATCATACACAACCTGGAGTCAAGTACCATGGTATATAGTTCAAGGTAACGCAAGTATCTGGATGCAAGAAAGTTCTTTTGAAAGGTGACACTTTATCGCATCAGAATTGATCATCATTTCCTTGTTCATTGAACTTAAGAACGTACTGTTGGGTTCCCCCTTAGGTTTTCTTTCTTCCTTTTTCAAGACACAAGACATGCCATATGATACATGAATATGTATTTTGTACTTTCTTGATATGATTTCATATACCTGTATGCTTCGAATGCTTTCCCATCTCTCTCTCTCTCTATCTCTCTGTCTCTGTCTCTGTCTCTCTCTCTCTCTCTCTCTTTCTCTCTTGCTCCTCTCTCTCTTCTCTCTCTCTCCTCTCTTAATTAACTCCCATTTTCTCCTCTCTGTTTTCTACCTAAAGACATCATTGAACATGTAGATTTTCTACCAATAATCCTACTCAATAATTCTTTTATCCACCCGTTTTATCACCCCCTAACAGGTACCCAGGAAGTCCTCTCATCGCCAACTCCCATCTCTCGCCCCTGAACTACCTGAGTGACCACCGGTCCTCTCCTGGTGACCTCTCCCACATCTCTTCTGGGGAGAGTCCTGCCTACTCCATGGTCAAGCCAGAGGGACGAGACACCTCACCGCTTCACATGCACGACAGGCCCAGCTCGGCCGATCTCTCTGACTACTCGCCGGTCAACGGAACAATATCCTTTCCATATATATTTCATTTAAACATATAATAATTTTTCATGTTTTGATATAAAAAAAATTATCCAACTTACTCTTGTATAATGTATCCGTAATTTTGTTATTTTTTCTTGTTTGGGTTTTTTTTCTTCAAGTTCTAGTTAATGAAATGATAGCAAAGCGAACACAATTCCTATTTGTTTGAATTTGTGAAATATAAAGTTATTTCTTAATAAATATTGCAAACTTGTATAATTTGCTGTAAGGATGACAAAGAACCGCTGAATACCCCTTTCAATGATGATATTAGGATAAAGCAAAGCCACAAAATACGATATGAGTTTTTGTGATAATGACACCCCTCCAAAGAAAATGTTTTCATTGTTACTTTTTCATTTTCCTTTTATTCTTATGGTTCATGTAGTTCGTCTTCAGTTGACATCAAAAGTACAAACAAAATGTAAAGTCATTGTAAGAATTCTTTTATCAGGTTAGCATGTGACACATTTTATCCGGAAAAAGAAAAGAAAGTCCTTATCAGCCAAAAATCCTATTCCTATTCGGTTAGAAGATAATAGAAATAATCACCTGATGGTAATTACTGCCCCAAATTATTTCAAGCAGCCGTGATGAAGCTTAATGTCAACAGTTTCTACAAGAAATAAACACAATGCCAGTAAATCGGCCCCATCTGGTAATCATATTTGTTGCTTTCTCTATCATTTTCCCTCTTTTCTTCTTCTCTCTTCAATGAAAAATTTAATGCGTGCGGTCATTTTCTTATTGTGATTGCTCCTCCTTCCTTTCCCACGACTTGCGGGCCGAACGTAACCACCAAAAATAGAGTTTCTAGACAAGATTCTTGACGGTCAGCCATGCAGAGGAAGTCACTTGAGATCAATGTTTTGGATCTATTCTCTGGTAATGCTATCACTCAGGAAGTTGCGTGCCAAGCAAGCCAGTCAGAGTTTCTCTCAAGACTCTCTCCAAGTAAGCACTCGGAAACCAAACAGCAATATCATGTGATCTTCCTCGGCGGCGACATTGTCTCACTTGGAAATGAAAACTGGTATAATAATAATATCATCGCTTCTCTAGCTCACTCTACTCGATCTTGGCATGACTCGATTGTTTTCGCTTTTGACATTGTTGTGTGTGAACTGTGTTGATCACTGAATTAGACAATGCACTTTGTCTCAAGGTTTATTTTCAGTTCATGCATATACTTCCAAGATAATAAATTGAAGTCTCAAGGTTCATAACTTTAAAATAATTCCTAGAGTTGATGAATTGATGATAAATGTCACAATCTCTTGTATTATAGACTGGGTGCTTGTGGTTACATAAATAAATCAAAATGTTATGATACTGTGAAATAACAAATTATTCAATTGATATATCAAGCGATCTGTTAGCTTTTGTCATTTTTTTTTAAATTTTAGCTCATGACACTTGGATATCGGTTCTTTTTTTGCATCTTATCATTTCCTTTCTTTGTCTTTTTATGCCTGTTAACGTTTTAATGTAGTATTTTTAAAGATTTGTTTGCCTAAAACTTGATGTGTTATCCCATAGACCATATTTTTATGTTCCAAATTTCTACTCTAACTCTCTCTCTCTCTCTCTCTCTCTCTCTCTCTCTTTCTTTGTGTCATTTCATTTCCATCCCAGACTGAGCAGACAGGTCTCATTTGATCTCTTATTCTTGTCTGTCTCTCTTTCCCCTCCCTCCCTCCCATCTACCCGTACTCTCAAGTGTATGTGTTGCTCATTGGGTCTCACCATACTGAGCTGAAATTGACGAAATAAAGTTTGAATTGATTCATAAATCTTGGCTGATATGATGATGACTGTCAGAGGGGGCATTGTACTTTCTTGTCGGCATCGCCTCATATACTCTCCTTCAATGCCAGTCTTTGAATCCATTGAACTTGTCGCCATACCTCAAAAAAAAAAGAAATGAGGAGTCCTTTCTTATCTGGCCGCTGAGGATTTTTAGGTCTTTTGTCTGATTTGGGGCCAAAGTATTTCTCAATTATTGTTCATATGCACATCAAAGATTCAAAAGGCATTTTTGTCCCCCCGATTTCCTTGAGAATTCTTCTTGTTTTACGAGGCATGAAGGGTAATGTAGAGGCTTCAGTATGCCTGATCTACTGCTTATGCTTTAAGACTGCCCCAAGAAATGGCGAATGAAATAGGCGGAATGGCCTTTTTTGGTGCACCTTTCACAAGGCCTCCACTTATTATTTCCTTTCCTATTTTCCTTTTTTGTGCAACCGATTGAAAATAATTCGCTTTCATTCTATTGAGATTTCAAAGACGTACATTTCACGGTTGAGATCAACTCATCGTACAGTGTTTTCTTGGAAATTTGGAGGAAAAAAACATAACTCATATATCATCTCAGACTTTGTAAGAAACATGAGTAAAGAACTGGGCAAATTTTGAATCATTGAAAAGCTGAGAAAGGAAATAAAGAAAAAAATGAGAAGAAAAAAATAAAGGATTAAATAAATATTTTCCGGTTTCCCATCATAGGGTTGATGGTTCTGTGGTGATTCCAAATTTGTCATTCTTTTTATCTTTAGTGCTGTGGTCATTTGACAAGGATTTCCTGAGTTTATGTATCAAATTTGTTGTATTTGACCAAAAACCTTAAGATTCATCATCTGTTATACTTCTTCTGACCACGATTTCCTTTTCTCTATTCTCTCAATCCTCTCTTCTATATCTCTCCCAAAAAGATTGATTTTTATCAATGTTGCAAGAATATCATCAATCAAAGCTTTCCTTTTTAAATAGGGCATTAATCTTATTCAGTCCATCCTTGGCTAAAGATTTTAATTGTACTCCATTCTGTAAAGGAATATTTTGCCAAGAAGAATCAAACCTTTAAACCCAAGTAACTTATTGTAGATTTAGGTCCATGAAGAAAGAAGATAATAGTTAACCTCAGCTTTATAAGCAATTATAAGTAGATAATTCTTTCTTCTCAATGAAATAGAGAGGAAGTGGATATAATTGATCGTTTTCTGCCGATTTCTCAAAAGACAAGGCCCCTGTCTCCATGGCGAGATGCGATTCTCAATCTCATGCTTTGTCAACGTGAGAAAGACCTATATAAACGACTCCAGGTTTTGTCCTATTCTCTTTCAATGGTTACAAAATTGATTTGTTTTTGTGGTAACAAGGCCGTATTTTTCCCGAGCTATTATGCCACTTTCCTACCTTTTGCTTAGTTTCTTTCTCATAGAATAGAATTGTTCTTTTAGATGCTGGTTTTGACTTCCCACCGAGACCCTTTGTGAGGTGGATCTCCATCATAACTCCAGATCGATTAAAGTCTATATATCTCTATCTCATCGTCCTATTTTGTTTTTATCATAGAACGATTAATCTTTATGACTGGGTGAAGAATGAGCCCTGTGTGGTCATTCCTATTCAGACGTCGCTGATCTTTGGGGGTATTGGGCTCTCACTCCCACTACGTCCTTCTTCCACTTGAGTGCCGACGCCCATTCAAGATCAGCCCTCTGCCTTCATTTAGCTTATCTCGTCCCAGGTTCTTGCACTTTTGCCAGGGGTCCCTTTCAAGAAGCCGCTTCATCCGTAACAGACTCAAACCCTTATTGTTGCCTCTACCTTGCAGCCGAAGCACAGCTTGAGGATCAGCTTGTGACTTTGCTTTTGTGCCGCATGTTTTTCTAGATGAGACTTCGACATCGGCCGGTTCTACATGGCTACCCAGGCCTGGGTGTCCTCATTCAACCCTCTGCCACTAGCCTCCTCCTCCTCCTCCTCCACCTCTCTCTCGCCCCCAATACTCCCAGAAAAGGAAAATTTCCAGGATTCCATATTGAATATCCAATCATCTTTTTATTGTTTGCTCGTAGATTAGAAAGCCCCAAGACTATAAGAGAGAACAATCGACAGGAAGACCTGCCTTGTTTGTGATGTGGTGGGGTCCCCTGAGCTTCTCTAAATGTTTCACTTCTGACTTCATCAAATTGATGTCGGGGAGGATGCTCTTTTCTTCATTAAATGATCAAAAATGCAGGATATGTGAGAGGCCATGCATGACCCCTCTGATTAGGCTAATTGATAGCAAGCGTCGAAAAGTAACGACAAGTCTGTTCGGCCTGTGTGCTGCAAATCACCTCTCCTCCAGCTCCCACCATATCATTCCCGCTAAATTTCCATCATTATCATTACACTCTGATTAATTTCCTCTCATTCTATTTTTTTTCTGCTCTCTCTCTCTCTCTCTTTCCTCTCTTTCTCCTTGTCTTTCTGTCTCTCTATATTTAGCACAAAGACCATCATCTACAAAAGATCATGTCAGCGTTGTGTGCTGTGTAATCTTCTACGTGTCGTGGGAATGTATCTGTTCTTTTATGTTGTTCTTTATCTCCCTTTCATCTCCATGACTCTGTAAATCTCAAAGAACAGTCAACATGAGGCTTAACATTGTTTTGTAGTTCCTTCCCAAGTCTACCTGCCGCTCTCCGCCAGCCAAGTGCCTTAACTTGGTCTTACATTTTAAAGAAACTTTCGTGAATTGAAACTCCTCCAAAAGCAGAGTAAACCATGCATTCTTCCACACAAAGGGAAGCATAAAGCAAACATAAGAATCTTATTCATTGCCTTTGAGTTGGTATATAGCGTGAGATATTCTCTTTTTGCCCGAAGGCTGCTCAGCAGTGCAAGAAAAGGTGTAAACAAGTAATGTGTGGAGGAAACCAAGGATGAAAATGGCCTTGAATTTCTCGCCACCCAAACTGGCACAAATAGAAAAGCCTTCTTTTCATACCAATCCACCATGTCTTTTTGTAAGGAATAGTTTCTGCTTGGTCATGTTTTACTACATCTGCTCTGTGTTTTATCTATTAGGATGGTGGGTGTTTTTCTTATCTTTCATATTTTTGTCGGATTTGCAAAATATTTGTCTGTCCTGAGCAGGATTTTAACAATTTTTTGAAGGTTGGAATGTATGATAAATGGTTTCTCTTTTGTTTGGAATTATTTGCTTAATTCATTTAGGGGCCCTGGGAAAGGAATAAGATGAATTGCATGTACCGAATGCAAAGGGTTTGCTGAGAGATCTTACTGCTTCATTTCTTTTCTGGGTTTTTTTCAAGGCCGTGTCCCCAATTATATTCTTGATTTCATTTCATTTATATATTTTTAGACACATCTTATCATATCTTTATCAGCACTTGTAATCAAATATGTTTTTAAAACTTGATGGAAATGTAAACAATATTTGTATTACACATATGTATTGTAGTTCATTCTATCAAATGATAGAGAAGGGGTTAATTATAGTCTAGCATCTTTAATCCCAAGAATTGGCCATAATCACTGCCTTTCAATCTCAAGTAATTCTAATATGTACATATTATCATAAATTTACCTTAACTCCTTTGCACTCGATCACTTGCACCCTGACGCCGACCCACCTGCGTAAGGCCAAGCTCATGTTCTTCTTCACCCGCTACCCGAGCTCCGCCCTCTTACGCCAGCATTTCCCCGACGTCAAGTTCAACCGTCACAACACCTCGCAGATCATCAAGTGGTTCAGCAACTTCCGCGAGTTCTACTACATCCAGATGGAGAAGTTTGCCCGCCAGTCGGTCAGCGACAATGTCGAGACCGCCGAAGATCTCAAGGTGACCAGGGATTCGGAGCTCTACCGGTCCCTCAATCTCCACTACAACAAGAGCAATGAATTCACGGTAAGTCCTTTTTGGTGTGTGTTTTTGTGCGATTAAAAACGTCTTCAAATTTGAGGATGTTTCTGTCATTTCCATATCAAAGTCTTTTGCTCTTCAATAGCTTATGACTTTCTATGTTTGTGACAATCCATTTGTTTACATATTGCTGCAATCTCAGGAAACCTTGAGCAAATTTGGGGAAAATTTACCTGAAATTGAATGCATACTAAAAATGGTATATTGTTTTGTGCCTCTTCTTGTGCATTTTTGTTTTGATTATGTGTTGTTTGTTTCCCTGTTTATCGCTTTTTTTGGACAAATTGCACCTCTACAAATGAAGACACAAGGGTACTAGATAAATATGCGGAAACTGATTATACTTTAATGTTAGATTTATTGACAAAGAATTATGAAGACTAAGGTTTCATTTCTTTGCTTGTTTATTTGTTGTTTTGCTGTATTGACTTGAGATAAGAGTGTGGGTGTTTGCGGAATTTATTTTCACAAAAAACCATGAAAGCATAACCACTTCCTAGCTTGGGATGTTTCTATTATTACCAAGGGTGGAGAAAATTGTAGAAAATGGTACGATTGCATATAAGCTGGTCATTTGCATGTGGACATAAATATCCTGATAACTTTTTTGGGCATAAAGTTGATGTGCCTGTGATCAATTAATTTGGGTTATTTTGTCAAATTTTGTGCTCTCGTGCTTTCATCAACAAAATCAGTATTGAAAAATATCAATTATTTCTCAATGAAAACAAATCATGAAAGAAATCTTAATCATTCTTTCAAATTTCAACAGTATCATTTATTTACCACAACTTAAAACAAAGCCTATTTGAGTCTAGAAAACTTCAGGGTCATTTCTCAATATTGTCCTGTCCTCATACTGTTTGAACTGCTATGTTTATGGAAGGACATTCCTTAACCAGCAGAAAAGGAAAAATAGATTTTAATCAATAAAAGAGAATAAATCTTCCATGACCATTGTCAGCCACTGAAACTGTATTTGAAAAGACTTGAATATTTACTCTAACTTGTTGACATGCCCATTCAACCAAAAACAAGGTTAAGATTGGAGAGAAAGGATGTTTCCGTAATATATATTCTTACGTTTTCTCTTGTTTTTGTGTGTACTTTGAGGTTGATTCATCTATTGTTGGCTGATGTTTGCTAATAATGATCACAGGGTGTATCTGTTTAGTGACTCAGTGTATCTTTGCCAATTTAAAGCTCATCTTAACCGCATTGGTAGATCTTTGGGTGTTATGCTAAAAAATACACTATTTTTCATTTTAGTGAGGGGTCTTGTGATTGTTGCATGTTGTGCAAAATGAACAGTCTTATTTTTTCTTGCACATAAATCTCTGAATAATAATGTACCATCCAACTATATTTTGTCATATCCAAGGTTTTATTTATGGAGATGACCATGGCCATGAATGTTGAATAATAAAACATTGAATTTTGTATCACATATTATGTCAGTATCCTGGAAATGTCCCAAATCATATAGTCATATAGAAAAGAATTTATAAAGGTTGTCCTGTCGTTGACAAAACTTTATTTGATCCCTGTCTTGTCACCTGGATATTGTTTCAACATATCATAAAATCACACTGTCCTTTCCTGTCAAAAAAAAAATATAAAAGTCCATGAATAGAGAAATGTAAACATGTACTTGGTTTATTATCGCAATACTGGACCTATTTCAAAGAAGATTAAGACATTTTTTTAAGGACACCATAAAACAATACCACAATTGAATCAGGGAGATCTCAGATTGAATATACATGTAGACTGTGTATTTGATAGACAGAAGACAATAATATAATTGAATGTGGTAACCTATCAATCAATCAATCACTAGAAATTAGTTTTGAAAAGTCATGTAGTGTTTTTGTCTCCTGAGAGCCAAAGGACATTAAACTCATAATTATTTCAAACAGAATTGAACCTTTCTGACTACAAGCAAATAATTGTCCTTTTGTTGATGTGGCATTAAGAATATACTTGGTCAGCAGTAGTTATTCAGACCTAAAGTTTCACTAGTCATCTGGATCAATGTTGTAAGATTTAAAATCAGTCTTTCCATCTTCTTCAAAATTTAGACATTTGAATAGAATCTTTACATGTTTTTAAAGTCTGTAAAAGACAGAGCTTAAACAAGCCCTCTTGAGAAGTGATTCCAGCACAGTTCTTGACATTTTCTTGTAAGCACGTTGGTTTGCTGCCCTCTTTTTCCTCTGTGTAACGGTTTGTAAATCCTGAATTAGGAAAGGAAGGAAGATATTTCAGTGGGCATTTCCCACTGCGGGCAGGCAACAAGAGTGCATTGCACTGTGGTCAGCTGATCTGTTGAGGGTTAACGTGAATGGGCGAAAATATACTCAAAATATTTATTTTGTTGTTTGTGTGATGATGAAGGAAAAGGTTTCTTGTCTTTCAGTTTTGGCTGGGTATCAGTGTGAAGGACGTTCTGCTAAATACATTCATCCTCAAAATATTTCTTTATTCCTTGCACTTTTTTGTTGATCTGTCAATATAGATCTGTACCTTATATCTGTTTTATTTGTTTTATTATTTTTCCTTTTGTCTTTGTCTTATGCTTTCATACTTTCTATCTGTATTTATCTTTGTTTTTTCCTTTTTCAGTCCCCCCCCCACCCCCTCTCTCTCTCTCTCTCTCTCTCTCTCTCCCTTTATCGAGCCTATTTCCTCTGGTCTCTTTACCAATTTGTTGTTAGTGTGTTTTTGGTTTGTTTTAATTTTTGTTGTGGGGGGGGGGGGGGGTGTGGCTCAAATTCTGTCAAGTATGCCATTCATCATTAAAATATTCAAATTTCAGTCTCATACATAAAACAAGCTCTCTCTCTCTCTCTCTCTCTCTCTCTCTCTCTCTCTCCTCTGCTGTATCCACCTCCTTTTTTGTATAACTTTCTTATAATCTCAGACCATGCAAATGGCAATCAGCTCTTTCCGAAATGAAAATATTACCTCATGATCTAATCATGATCTATTTTTTTTTACCGATTCACTCTTGAAGAATACTTCCACCGAATCCTTTCTCGGTAGTTTGTCATTCACATAATCTGGGACACCCACTAAAGAATCATGAATGAATAAAAACTCCTCAGTCTGAAGTTAATGTCATCATTTTTACATGCCCCCCAAATTGATGGAGAGGAAACGAGAGAAAGAGAGAGGAAGGCTTGCACCCAGCTCAAAAAACAAAAGCTGGTTATCTTGAATCCCTTCCGAAAAAGTACAATGACATTTCATTCAAATGAATGTTATGATCAACACAATTACCCACCCCATTACTTTATTCTACTTTTCGACCAATAAGCAGCTCACTCATTTCGGCCATTTTCTTGACAGAGTGAGTTCATAAAGCAGGAATTTTTCTTAATCATTAGCTCCCAGTCTTTGTGAAAAATCATATATAGGTTGATTACACTATTGCTGGGGCGCTCATGTGAAGTTGGTGCACCTATCGGCAGTCAAGAAAAAAAAAATTCTAATTTTCTTCCCAAATTGCGTGTCATTTGCAAGGCCATTGCCTTCTGTACTATTCAGGAGGCAAAGAAAAAGAAACAAAAATAGCTTTTTCTTGCTCTCTTTATCTACCTTTCCTCTTTATCAGTGGAAGTGCGTGTTTTGTAGCAGGAGTAAGAAACAGAAATAACTAATAAGATGTATGTCAGTAAGAGGAAGATACCTATTTGGTTATAACTTGTCACTTTACTCCATCATTAAAACTAAGTTTCCTGAATCAATAATACATTGACCTTGCTCTTGCATTATCCTTTCCGAAAAGAAATTAGAAGATTCTAGTTCTCACTCTTCCTCCGTACTCAAAATAAACAATTGTTAATAAATTATTTGCCTCAAGGGAAGCTGTAATGAGAAATTCTAATTGACGACCTTTTTTGTTATCAGCGGGTATCACTTATCATATTGTTGCTTTCAGTTATAAGAGCTAGGGTATATTAAGACTGCTTCCTCTTGAATTTTGAATTAGAATTTGTTAGTTTAAATTAGAAAATTAATAGTACAAAAGCATGTTTATGTTTTTCTTGTTCCTTTTCAATTCCTCAAAAGATATTTTGTAGTGTGAATCATGTGATAATGTAAACATTTGAGCCACTTAAAGCTATTCATATAGGTGCAGTCATGTCTTTTCATTAATCCTATTAAAGTGTCCGATAATTTAATTTGATGTAAGGAGATAATGTTACCTTTGTCTTAAATGTTAATTTCCCATAATTCCCCTAAGTGGTTTGATGGAATATATGGAACAAAGGTTATTGTTACATGGACTAAGTGATCAAAGTTTGATTAAAACATGTTTAACATGGGCTAAATTTGATAACAATAATGATAGTAATAATAATTGGATTTATAAATAGCGCCTTTTCGAAAGGATACAATTTGTCCGTTATACCACTGTCTAACTCATTTGTTGATAACATAAAATCTAAGACCTACAGGAACTTGCCTCTGGTGAAGGATTTCTTTTAGAGAAAGAAAAAACTATAACTACAATATCAGTTTATTATCCTCTTTATTTTTATGTATGTCATGGTAGTAATATCATATTAAGAGATATCATTTGTTCAGAGCAGAAGGCATTAACTCTAAGTTCTGATTCATGAGTTAATGCCCTTCCTGCTCCTAACAGACGATTTCTAGAAGGAACTGGTCAGTGATAAAGGCTCTTGGCTCTTGCCAAGTTGGAAGCATTCTTCTTGTCACCTTGAACCATAAGACATGATATGGCAGAAGTGTCATATGAGGTGTGTTTCCATAATCCAAAAATGCTGGAAAGATTTAGGCGTCTCTTGAGCTTCTTCCTTTGATACTGCTCAAGTTTGAAATGGCTAGCATTTAAAAAAATTGTCCAAACTGGAGCTTGTTGGTCGTGTCACAAGGGTTCAAGGGCCCATATGATCCTTATGACAGGTAGGCAATGCGTCTTGCCTTTTCAAAGTGCATTGAGGACCATACCTGCC